TCAGGTATGCTAGTTCTGATTTTCAATTAGAAGTAGATATTATGAGGTTCATGACTTAGTGTATGTTCACTTAATGGAAGGGAAATCAATTGGTAGATTGTCAAGCAGATTTCAACTGTTGACTCAAACCTGCAGGTGGAATATATTGCAGCCTTAAAGGTGGCAACATAAGCCTATTTGTTTGATCTCACTGATTTAGAGGTTGTGGAGCATACTAGCCTGCCTATCGAGCTATATTGCGACAATAGTGCAGAAGTAGTCCAAACCAATAACCCAAGGTTCCATAGATGAACAAAATACACTGATAGGAAGTATCATGTTCTACATGATATTATCCGGCAAGAAAATGTACTTGTAGCTAGAACATTGCATTGGAACACAACTTTGTTGATCCATTATCAAAGGTGTCATTGATCAATAATTTTGATCATCATCTGGATAACATTGAAGTTAGGTGCAATTTGAATTGGCTATGAGGGCAAGTGGGAGCTGTTGGGATTTATATGCCCTGGCATAGCAAATTCCTGTTTGGATTAATTGACATATGTTCTTGACATTTCTGAAATATTTATGTTTTATACAATTGGTGAATTTAATGTATTATATTTCGATTCACTATGAAATTGATAGTATCCATGTAATTACAAGAAATATTTATGTATATGTATGTGATGGCAATCAATGCATGATATATAAATAGTAATTATAAATTGTTCATAGTCGGTAATTATGGATGGACTCATAATTAATTAAGACTTGAACTGGATCCGCGTTAGGTTGAGATATATTGCGAGAGCCGTCGTATGCAATTACTCCCTATCACTGTCATGGCATTTGACTCTTAAGCATGAGAAAAGTATAGACTCTTTTATTAATTAATAATTACTTTGATTTGTTCGGCGAATTCTTCAGGATCCTTAGACCGACACTTTGGGTAGCTATGTAATTAATAGTTAGAGGGTTATATTTTCAATATTTGCATCATTGCTACTTGTATTTATTTTGTATTGATTATGGTTAATCACAAAGTAAATTCGAAGGCCTTCGTGTGTTTTTAGACAAAATGATTTATTATATATTTATTTAAATTATTATTTTTGTCAAACAAATGTTTTATTGTGATCGAGCCAGAAATAATCAGAGGTACCAAAATAGATATATTAATTAAGTAGTCGGATTGATGGCTTTATTTATCCGATAACTAATTATGCATAGAGGGGTCAAAGTGCAATATTGACTTAGAGGTTATTTATTATTTCATTGGAGTTCAATTAATTTCTTTTAGTGGAGTAGAAATTAATTTATGAATTAATTGAATTGGGTCCATGGACCGGGCCAATTATTAATTCATTGTAGCCAATAAAATAATAGGCCCAATGGATTCTCACTCATAGCCCAACTTGATATTGGAATCATATTAGATTTGAGACATATGAATTAGAGATGGAGAAGGATTTTTTGTTTCCTTTTCTTTATTTTTATGTTGCCTATAAATATACATGGTCTATGTATATTTTAGGGGGTGATTTTTATGAGAAGGAAAAAGGAATAAATTTTCTCTCTCTAGAAAATTAGGGTTTATGTTCTCATCTAATGGAGGCTCCCATAAACCTAGTTTTTCAAGGTCATTCATGGAGGCTTATGAGTGATTCCTAAAGGCAAGACCATTACCAAGAAGATGGAGATGGAGATCTATGGAAAAGGTGTCTAGCAAAAGGGATCTACAATAAGTGAGAACATTCACTTTAGAGGAGAGATCTAAGGTTTACTCAAACCTTGATGTAAGTATTCAATCTTTTAATTGAATGATACATCATGTTTTATTTTTGCATAAAACTTGTCTCTATGTAATGAATCAAGATCTATGAATTAAAATCCCTCGAAAAGTTTTTAAAACTAGCACGTTTCCCGACAGTGGGAGCTGGCTCCTTATGGTTGAGAGCAGGCTCTCAACTTATGAGAGCATTCTCTCATGCCAAACTTGCTACATGACGTGGTTTAAGGGTCTGTTTTGGGTTTTTGAAGTTCCTGGACTGTTTTGGGTGATTTGTAGGGACTCTAAACATTATATTATACTATATTAGAACCCACATTGCATAATTAAAGTCTTTATGCTAATGGATTTAACAGTAGGGAAGTTTAAACAATCTTGCGTACTGTTAACGAATAGAAATGATTAAATTGTGTAATTTTATTTTAACAATTTAATGGACTATAGCGTAGACTATAAACATACTATTAGGTTGTATTAGAACCCACATGATAGAATTAATATTTTTATGCTAACGGATTTAACAGTAGGGAAGTTTAAACAATCTTGCGTACTGTTAACGGATAGAAATGATTAAATTGTGTAATTTTGTTTTAACAATTTAACGGACTATAGTATGATTTATAAATCTTGTTTTGGATGCATAATATGGTCATTTAATTATCGGACTTGATTTATGCTTACTCTGGATTCTAATTGCTGAGATATTAAACTTTATTCTGTAAATACATGGATTAAGGTTTTGGATTTTAATTGCTGAAATATTATACTTTATTCTACAATTATTTGGATTATTGATTTGGACTTTAATTGCTAGACTATGTCTATCAATTACATGGATTTATGTGTTGGATTTTAATTGTTGAATGATTATAATAAATTCTGTCAATTATATGAATGTTATGGATTGTATGCACCGGTATGGGACGATAGCATACTAGGGATGGGTTGGCTCAAAACGTTAAGTCCTACCTTCTTGGAATAAGGGAATGGATTGTAAAAATTGAATCCTACTTATATTTAGGTCAAATCAACTGAATAAGTTGAGTGACTTCATAGATTTATTGTTATTTATAGTTAAGTCGGATCAACTGAATAAGTTGAGTGACTAACTGGATTGGAAATCTTATATCAGATTAATGAACAATTGAATGACATATTCTAGTTTTGGACAGACTTTAAATATATATTTATGGTACCACGATATGAGCTTGAATCTCAGGATCGTTGGTTAGGGAGCATATATGCATGGGGATGCATAGCTGGTTATGATGATTGAGGTATACCCTGTTAGGTCTAGGTACTCGTGCCCACCTTTGGGTGCGTTTTTGCATGTTGCCTTCTATTCAGGTTGAGATCCCCATTGTAGTCTAGTGAGAGTCCTTTAGTGTAGATATATATATATATATATATATATATATGTATGGACTAGATAGCTGTTGTTGAGATATCTAGGATGTATCTGCGTATCGGGTCTCTGTTTAGATTGTAGTTAGAATGGAACTTGTTCGTGGGCCCGACCCACTATTATTTTTTAGGTAGCAGATGGTTCTAATCTTAGAGCGTGTTTGTGCTGAGCAGAGATTGTCACTCATCCTTTCGACTGCGTAGGACTGCTGTTTATATTTAGTTTTTAATTTCCTTTTTGGTTTAGTGTATTTTCAGTTAGGTTTTGAACATGGGTCCACTAGGTGGATTCCCGAGTTATATTTGTATTGGATGTACCAGAATAGTTCTTATATATAAAAAATTATTATGAGGTTTTCATTTTTGGATTATCATTTTAGTTTTCTTCAGCAATTTTTATTTATTCCTGTTTCTCATAATTGTATTATGAGTTCATTTATTGCTATTTGTTTTTTTATATTCTTAGGTGTTCGGGCATGGGCCTGGCCAACCCGCATCTGAAAATATGAGGGTATCACAACACCTAAACAAATATAATTATTATTTCATAAAACAATATGGTGTATAATAAAAGGGTTTAAATCCGCATTAAGATATTCTATAAAATTCATACACAGGCGCACAATCCAAAAATAAATAAATAAATATCATACATGTACTTTGCACATGCACAACAATCTCAAAAATTTACATAATTGATTTTAGGCAAAAGTGTAAAAAATAAAAAAAAATAAAAATAATAAAAATAAAATTCCTTAGATTTCATCCGATAAACATAATATCCCATATTTATCCCATGTGGTATAAAAGTGAGCAAGTCAATGCTTGTAATTTCGAAAGCAAGCAACTTGCTCGCATCATTTCACATCCGGGCACTTATGAACAAGAGCAGAAGCAGGAGAGGTGAGAGATGGCAAGGCAGTCCACACACATGAGTCCATCTTCACCGCTACGTCACAGTTATGAACCCATCTTCACCGCTATTGAAGAGAGAGAAAGGGCAGTTGAGTCATTTTACAACAAATTTTCATGTCCACGGTAGCCTTTCATAAAACTATATTTATTTGGAAAATTGAAGTTTGATCCAATTTTTTTAACCTTTTACCTACAAATTCCAATTTTTTTAAATTATCCCTATATTTTTTGTAAAATAAAAACTAAATACTAATATCAGTAAATAAAAAAATATTTATATCCCAGTAAGTTTAGAAATTCACATTGCGAAACGAAATGTAGGGACGAGGATCCCACAAGAGAGGTCACATGCGACCAAAATGGCCCCCACTAAAAAGATGTTGTCGCGTGGAGCCCCAAATTTGAGAAATTCAACCATTCGTATTATTAGACCGTGTGGACCCTTTTAAGTCCGAGAAATTCTACTTTGGTATTCTTAGCCTTAAAACATTTAATATTCAAGAAAGTGACTGTAATTGCTTATAATATGATGAAACTCTATATATAATATGATTGCACTGGCCCCAACAATGACATGTCCCAGGCATACCACTTCAACAAGGTCTGGCAAACTAATAGTTGCAATTAATATAACTGAATGAATTATGATTTTCTATTGCTAACAACTTTAAATTATAAATACAAATTTCACGAGAATATGCTAAATGGCAAAGAGTTCTCAACTTGTAGGTCAGTAATACGAATTTCCTTTGGGCACTCACTTTCTAGGATTATTTTTCAGAAATATCTCAGTGTATATAGGATGAGTGAATTGCATGTCTCGATAGGAAATTATGAGTTGTTCTAAAAGACCAAAATTTGATGAATGCATTAAGTAAATAATGTTAAATTCTTAATTTAGTAGCTTTATAATGTTGCAACACACTATACAATATGTTACATGAACGTTTTATATTCGATGTAAGTGTATTACATAACTTTATACTTCACATAACAACCTTATTATAATAAACATGCTTTCACTATTGATCAGACACATAGGTAGCTGATATATAAATAAATCAGTTTCACCATAAGGGATGCTGCAAGCCCAAGGAAAATTAAAGGGAAATCGAACAAGCACCACATGGCCCAGAAACTTGGAATCTGGTGAGCGCCAATAGTCACCAAGAAGTTGGGCATGGTCTTCTTGGCAGCAAGACCATAATTGACTAGTATTGCGGCGCCGACCAACAAGGGAGCTGCATGGTAGCAAAGTGACCATTTACTAGTAGCCATGGACCAGAAGGTGCGAAAAATGGCGACCAGACTGACCAAAAATGCGAGCGTGTTAGTCATGACAGCATAGAACACTTCCGGTATTTGGTTAGGAGACCTTATTATATCTTCAAAACTGACGCTTAAAATTTCAACAGTCTGCTCTACTGGATAGAGCTTGATTAAATTGAAGAGAGACTGATAAGCAGCACTTGCTAAAAAAATAAAAAAACCCAGCAACAACGATTTCCTCATCAGCTCCATGCTTTCCTGCATCATCATCTTCGCTGTAACCATCGGTACTACTGAATCTGATTGTGAACATGGTTGTCCTTTCTTGGCTCTAGCTTCATGAAGAATGTGACAGATTTCTTTGTCGCTTTCATCAGACATTTTTTGGTAATGGAGGTCCAATGCCGTTAAACTCGAATTATTTATGGAGTTCACATCCACCACACGATCACCATTTCTATGCTTGTAAGAGACCAACAGTTTCACGATCTAAATCACAGAGATAAATGGTATATAATTAATTAGAATTGCATTCAATATCCACAAATAGGCCTGTGAAACTGGCCAATATAATACGGCCGAACATTGTATTTTATTCGACTATAGAAAAAGAAAATAAATAATATCAACCAATTGATTCAATTTTCTATCTAGGTATAGAAAACCCTCTCGACTTGTAACGTCTAATTTTTTATTAAAAAAAATCTCGACTTGTAACCATTTCTAATAAATACTCCTTGTCAAATTTTTTACCAAAAAATCTCCTAAAAGAGTTGATATTTGGATCAAAATGACTTTTTATTTAAATCTTAATTTTTTCAAATTTCAAAAATTCATATCTCACAAATTATACATCCAAATATTATAAATAATATATGCACGGAAAGTTTATAAAATAAGAATTACAGAAATATAAAATTTGTTTAACAAAACTTCATAACTAAAGAGAAATAGACAAGAAAATTGAGCATAACATATAAAAAAATTAGCCTTAATAGAGATCGAATATATATATATATATATATATATATATATATTATAAAATACTCCAGTTATTTGCAAGAAAATTTTCAGAATGATTCATTTTCATATGGAGCATAACATATAAAAAAAATTAGCCCCAATAGAGACCAAATATTCATTTTTATATTTTTTCAAATGGTGAGTTTATAAAAGAATGAAAATACTTTGACGTAAAATATTATATCTTATGAAATCGATCTCTGTTGGGGCTAATTTTTTTTATATATTCGGCTCCATATGTAAATAAATAATTCTAAAATTTTTCTTGTAAATATCTCGAATAAATAAGACTGTTAGAGTAGATTTTTAGATTGTCTATTTCTCTCTGGTTAAGAAGATTTGTTGTACAAATATTATATTTCTGGAATTCTTATTTCATAACCTTTCCGTGCATATATTATTTACAATTTTTAAATGTACGATTTTGTGAGATATGAATTTTTAAAATTCGAAAAAATTAAGATTTAAATAAAAGGGCATTTTAGTCCAAATATCAACTCTTTTATCCCCTTCAGATAGTTGAGGGGGGTTTTTTGGTAAAAAAATTAGACATGGGATTTATTGGAAAAAGGTTAAAAGTTGAGAAAGATATACTCTTTGGTAAAAAAATAGACAGAAGGTTTACTGAAAAAGATTACAAGTCGAGAGGTTTTTTTTTGTACTTTGCCCTCTGCTCAATATAAAATTAAAAAATTACTAGCTAGTCCCCCTTTTTAATTTTAAAAACAAGTAATTCCTAATTTGTTTTATGGAATAATAGTCCAAAATAAACATCTCTGCTCCAAAAATAATGTTTACTCTGTACCTCAAGATTAAAAAAATAAATAAATAAAAATAAAAATAAAATGAAGGAAGCTTCCCAAGAAAGTGCCCTCTAGCTTTACCTAGATCAGGTCGGCTGATCAAGCCAAAAAAATATCTCAATGCAAGAGGTTATCCATGTATGATCTATTATATATATATATGCGTGTGCGCGCGCGCGCAAATGAACAGTATATGCAGAGTTTACAATAATTATATGACATAATAAAATATGCTCTATAACATTAATTATGCAGTTGTATATACACACCCAGGTATGTATTAGATATGATGAGTAAATGTGCATTACAGTTGGAATTTGGAAAGAGACAGAGAGGGGACCTCGACTTGCTTATGCAAAATTGCAGTATGGAGAAGAGTGTTGCCCTCAAAATCTTGGCGGTTAAGAAGCTCCATCCACTGGGGGTTGAGGTTCTGAAGTTGTTCCATCAACACTCGAAAACAGCCCCAATGGCCGTTTTTGAGAGCGACATGAAGAGCAGTCTCTGCCTGAGAAGTCAACCGTTGGATGGACCTGGGACACGCAGTGATTAATACCCTCACGACTTCTTCTCTGCCTTCCCCTGCGGCAATATGAAGAAGGGTTCTTCTCTGATCATCTGTAAGCAGTAAACACAGATAATCAGGTGTAATCTCAACCAGTGCCTGCACAGTTTCGGCAGCAGCATATACACAGACGAGGTGCATAATAGTACTGAAACCATCCACACACATAATTCTCTGAGCAGCAAGTTCCGGATTATTCCTGATGAGATTCTTTGCACCATCGATGTTACCCTGGCTAAGCGCCACCAGTACTGGACTTGTTCTTGTTTCCATTACTCTCCACATCATTGAGGGCATTTTCGATCTCTTTGCTAGCTGATCATATTTATGTGTGTGTGTGTGTTTGTGTATAGGATCAGGAGAGGAGGAAAATGAACTACTTTGTTTCTATTTATACAAATGCTTGAATATTCCTGGCTGAGGAGAATTTTCGCCATTTGTATTTTCCCGTTACATTCAAGTTTTAGTGAATTATGAATATTACATTATGAATTCAAATTAATTTTAATTCAATTCCAAAAATAAATAAAATGTTGTTTAAATCTTGTTGTGGGCCTTGTGGCTCTAATGCAAATAAATAAATAAATAAAAATATCCTATACAGACATTAATAATATATTATATAAGGAATTTTTCCGTTCAATAAGAGTCTAATGTTAGACCCGATGTTTCATTATGCATTAATACCAAGTTACTATTTGTTTAGCATTAAATTTGATAAGATTATATAAATTGACTTTTTAATAAAGATTATTTTTAAAAATTTTAAATATATATATAAACCACAAGCATTACATACATATCATAATTTGAGTAGAATTTAGTATTACAAAATTTTAGTTATAATTTGGCAAAGATATAAATAAAAGACGGAGTGGCTTAAATCTACTTAAATAGAAAAATTATTACTCCTCAATTCTAATAAAAGTACTCCATTCATTTTAATATAGTTGTTCACTTCTTAAACTATGACATTACAGTTTACAAAGTAGACAATTATATTAAGACGGAGGTAATATCATTTTTAGGAATTCTAAACTTTTTAAGAGAATGTTTTTTTTATTATTTTTTAAGGGGCCTAATATTGGACTCTAAAATAATAGTTTGGCACTACACTGCTATTGAGTAAAATAAAATGTCAAAAAAATGCCCTTATTCAATGCTTTAATGGCATTGTACCCTCTCCCTACTCTTGTCCATATGCTTATTTCACCAAACTCCCTTCCATTCACATTTCCCCATAATTTTTTTTTTTCCCAATTAGTAATGCCCAGTACTTCTTCTAACTCTTCAGTCTGGACCTTGGACCTTTTATACTAATATACTATAGATTTGGGATGCTCAGTTCTCAAACTTTTCTATTTTTTCACGAAAAAAAATAGCAAAGATTTAGTGTTTTAACTATAATAAATTGATTGTGTTAATGGTTAATTATTAGCTCTAATTGGTACTCAGTTTTTTTTTTTTATTTTTTATTTTGAAATATGTGGTATTATCATATTAATTATTTGTTGTCCGTTGATATTTTTAATTTTCTCAATGTTTCTTGTTTGGTTGCTTCTGTTTGTTTGTTGCTTTGATTTTTTTTTTTTTTTTTTGTTGGTTTTTTGTGTAGGTGAATCTATTTAGAAAATAAAAGTTCTTTTTGGATTTTGAATTGATGTGAAATTTGTGATTGTTTTGAATTAAAGGATAGAGTTGCTATAAATATTTATTTTAAATTTTTAGATGTGAGCGGCAAGATATTACCACTTTGATTGAAAATAGCAATGTAATGGAATAATGGTTTGTTCAAAAATTATTTCTTGCGCCAAAAGAATATAAAGAGATACAAAGTTGCATATATTTAAAGGACAAGAACAGATGTGGTAGAATCCAAAATATTATTGTGGAGTCCCAACATCACTACTCTTTTTTTTTTTTATTATATTAGTTTTACCAATTTTACTTTTAGTGTCTGCAGTGATATGATATGATGGTTTACTTTTTGTAGGTTTAATATAAGAAGATGAAATTAGTAATATAAGAAAAATAGTGCATTGAGTTTTCAAATGAGGAACTTATTCTGGAATGATTATATATATATATATATATATATATATATATATTCTGATATGATATGATGGTTTACTTTTTGTAGGTTTAATGTAAGAAGATGAAATTAGTAATATAAGAAAAATAGTGCATTGAGTTTTCAAATGAGGAACTTATTCTGGAATGATTATATATATATATATATATATATATAATTTCGGAGACACAGGAAATATAAACCTAGGACTCATTAATCGTATTGTGTATGGTGGGTGGCTCTTTTGGAACGGTTGATGTTACATGCCACATTCCTCAAAATTTTGAAAAAAAAAAAAAAAAAAAAAAAAATGAAAATAATTAACTCGTATCCTCTCCATGCTAAAAGAATTCTCAATTTGGTTTCTTGTTACCTTACTTTTGGAAACTTCCAATTTAAGAGAAAATAGAGAAACTAAATATAGTAAGTATTTTAATCGAACTTCTCATTTTCCTAAGAAATTATGAAATGTTACGTAATTTATAGAAATCTTTCAGCTATTCTTTTATATTAAGAAACTATAGTAAGATCTAAAAAAGTTCTAAATTTGTTTTCACGCTAATGATTTGAATTTTATTTTTATAGAGAAATAAGCTCAAAAAGAACTGGAGATCAGAAAAATGTAATGTTCAATATATATATATATATATATATAGATATTTATCTTATAATTTTTTTGCTTGACTTGAAAAGTCTCTTTTGTGAAGGAAGTTTCGTTGAAACGGCATAACACTAGCTTCGTTTAAATTTCCAGGAGGTAAGAATATTTTTTTTATTGGAGGAAAAATTAATTCTAACGAACAAGAGTGAAGAAGATAAAGCAACTGGCCCGTCCCCACCACCCACTAGTAGAAGACTTGGTGGTTCCTAATCATCAAACGTATCCGACAAACTTCTACTCGTCTTTAATAGTTTTCTCTCCTCTCTCACGTTCTAAACTGATGTTAGGGAAAAAAAAAAAAAAAAATGAAATTTTTTTTATTTTTATTTTTTATCGATCCCTTTTTCAGAAAAGATTAAAGATTAGTTCTATTTTTAGATTTCCCTGTTAGTCAGTTTTTGTTTTCAGAAATGATAATTATGCAACTTGTGATAAGGAATGGAACATCCTGTTTATACAAGGAAGACTCAGTGTGAAATTGTGCAATGTAATTCACGTGATTAATTCAAAAGAAATAATTAAAGACTTACCTGAAGTGACAATAATTAGAACCATGACCGCTGATAGCATTGGCGGCCCGAATTAGAGAGTGAATAAAGATGGGCTTTGATTGTGATTAGGGTAGTTTGGTATAAAATAAATTAAGGATATTTTTAGAATTTTTAAAAAGAAACACTTTTAACATTACCTTTATTTAGAGCACTATTTGTTGACTAACAGAAAAGTCTAAAATTATGACCAATATCTAATTTTATTTTTAAAAAGGGACTGATATCAAAATTCATACAAAATGATGGGATTTGATTAAAAAAATCCCAAATCTAAACCCATTCTTTATTATCCCTATAAATTAGTTGTCCTTTAAATAGTAAAATTCTTTAAAGGAATATATAGTTAACGCACTGCTTTTTTTTCTTTTTTGTCTAAATATGTATAATACCAAACTGAAAGATTTTTAAAACTCTAAACGGCAATGATAGAAAAATAATATATATTTTGTTTAAATTTTTAAATGAGACAATTAATTTAGGTCATTTTAAAAAGAAAAGATGAATTATTAATATGAGAGGAGAAAATTATATTTTTACTTATTCACAAACTCAATAATTGATCAGAGATCTATTAACTCATGATTTTTCTAATAATTTCATTTTTTTATATTGCCTCAACAAATTATACTTGAAAATTCAGTTACAATGATCCACTCGTGACTCGTCGTAACATATATATATATATTAATAATTAATTAATATTTAAATTAATATATTTTTTTACCTGACAATGATTAGTAATTAGTCAGGAAAAGAAAATCAAACTTAAAATTGATAAGAGTGCGGATAATTTCGGCCTAATTATTAGTCGGACAACACAGCTACATATCTTATATATATATATATATATATATAACACGCTATTAAAGTAAGTATTTAATACCTTTTGTTGATACATAAAATGCCTATCACGGACTTAAAGATTAAATTTATTTTGGATGGAGGACTTGAACTGAGAGAATGAGAATAAGGGTCATAGTTGAGGCTAGAGTGAAGGAACGTGTCACACATGGATAGAGAAGGTCTCTTTGGTGGGTCAATTACGTAATGGAGAGTGCTTTCTTTTAGGTGAGAAAACAAATTGTCTTGAGGGACCACATGAAAGGGTTAGTTATTAGTAGATAACTCCATTTTTTGATTATGTAAGGAAGACTTGTGCTTTGTTAATTGACGAAGACTTATTAGATGATATTCCTTTAATGTATTCAATTGTAATGTTTTACATTACTCTATTTGTCTTAATTTAAGTGTCATCATCAAAACTGTAACTCATATTTTCTTAAGTCACAATTCTCATATTGTTTTAATTGATTAGTTATTTTGATTTAGTGAGCCATCAATTGACCAATGTTACATTAAAAAATTTTAATTTAATAAATATTACATTTTAAACTTATTACACGTTGAGAGATTGTGTATTATAGAGGAGCCAGGACAGTCCAATTCTCGTGGACAATATGTTAATTCAACAATTGTATGTGCGTTTTGATTATTACTAAATATATATATATACATATATATATATATATATATCTGAACTTTTTTATCTATTTTCCAAGGAAGTAAAAAGAATGTGGAAAAGATAAAAAAGAAACCGCGTGTCTTTCTAAAAATTTCCACGACCAGTCTGATTTGAATTGAAGAGTCTTTGTTTCCTCTTTTTGGTGAAGTTTCGTAAAAACCATATACGAGTAGGTTGGTTGAGATTTCCACTCGGTAAGAAGATTTTAGGAGACAAAATCACTACACCTCAGGGAGAAAAATCAATTAAAGGCCTGCTCCCACCACCCATTGGGAGCAGAAATATATTTCTAGTGAACAAAATAAATTTAACATTCGTGAAATTTAAGAATGACTGCTATTTTAGATTATATGTATTATATGTGTGTGTGTGTGTGTATATAAATTGAGTGTTTGAGTTGTAAAAAACAATAATGCAGATGTGTGATTGTTTGGACTTTCAAAAACAAAAAAGATTTACTTTTTTATGTTTTGTATGCCAATTCATTAATCAAAGGTAATAATTCTAACAATTCACTTCAAATAATCAGTCTTAAAAACATTTTACGAAAGCTGGTTTATAATTTATTCGATGAAAAATGATATAGAGGCTTAAGAGCTGATGGAATACGCCGAATTATTAAACCGAATGCCCTGAA